CAACACACATAAATAGTATTTGTTCAAATACGGACAGCTCTTGGACAAACTCCTAGAAGAATGCACAATTGGCTGTTTGTCCTCCTGTTCATCTGACCTTCAGTCTGTCCATTTAGGTACTTCCTGCCTCAAAGCCCTTTGACTTTCTTTACATGCATAGACAGTCACTAGCACAAGACAATCCTGTCCCCAGATTTGGAAATTTTTAAGGCTAGAATGAACAGGACCTTCCACACGCAGGCCAGGTACAAACTTTTCACGTTTAATGTTGTAAGTGATCAGAAACAGGTTTACACCTGTAACAGAACAGAAGTTCACCATAGAGACTGGTTTAAAAATGGCAGAACCTGGTCTAAGATTTGCCCTCCTCACCAAAGGGCAAATGCATGTATTGTTCGCTACCAATCTAAACTGTCACATACAGAAAACCAAGTAATTTAGATCAATTTTTGCCTCGGGTTTTTTGAATGTCTGTACCTAGTCAAACTCTAAAATGTAAGTGAAGGACTCTTTTTCATTGTTAGAAGAGGTGGGCTTTTCCCCTGAGAGTAAATGTCATTCATGAGCTAAAAAACACAGGCTAAATGGGAGCAGGGCAAGAACCTTGATCTTCCATGTCCCTGGTATGTACCCAAACCACCAGACTATCAGCCACTGAGGGGGTAATCCCTCTCAACCTTGAATGATGTAGCTGTTGCACTTCATTAAATAACCAACAGGCTAGACACAAGGGAAAAAGTGTGACTACATCTTGCTAGTTGAGGCACTCAACTGGAATATTGTTGGAGGCTAAGGTTCAAGCCTCTAGTCTAAAACCTAAGTTTTAAATTCAAATTTAAATTGTAAATCATCTTTTTTTTTTTTATCTTTTTTCATGAAGAATGACTGAGTTCCCCTGCAGAACAACTAATGTGCCTTACCCTCCCTGAGCTTCTAGTTACCACACACTAAAACAAACACTGCTTTCTTAGCAATGCAGGGAAGCTCCCTGCAATCGGATCAAAACCTGGAATGCTGTGCAACAGTGTTTGAACAGTAGTGCATGGACTTGCATTAGGGGGGAAATATGCTAATATGAGACTTCTAGAGCATTGCCTACATTGCTCTACGTTCCACATGGACACAGGGGCTAAGTACGGACAATAAAAAAGCCCAAGGCTGAATTGATTCAATATTTGCAGATTTTGTGTAACCTTGACTTGATAAGCAAGTGAACAGGCATCACTTCTGATTCCAGAAATGCAGCCACATGCCTGCGGTGGCCCAGGCCAGGTGCTGGGGGCTACTAGAGCATGCCTCCCTGCTGGGTTTGAGCAGACAGCTTGGGCCAATGCTAGCCTACCCACCCTGTGAGGGGGGAGTTTGTGGGGGACGTGCAAAGCATCCTGCGATGCTGGGGGACTGCAAGTTTAACTTGAATCTGGAGGGGATCTGGGACAGAAGTTCAATAAACTGATTTAGCCTAAATCAGTTAAGCCCGTACGTAGGGTTACCAACTCTGTTTGAATCTATTCTGGGAGGTTTCTGGAATGCCAGCATGCCCATGATGCACAACGTGAATGTGCCCGTGTGCTTGAGTATATCAGTTACAATGCGTAGACTTTACATCAGGAAGGCAAGGGGGCTGGACTCGATTATTTTTCGAGGTCCCTTCCAGCCCTAATGTCTATGAAATCTATGAAATACACGTTACTATTACATTTTAAAAACCCAGTGGACTACCGTATAAATCGGATCCAAAATGTAATATTGATTTTAATGAATACCCTATCACTTATCTCCCAGGTGACTCTCAGTAGTCTCCTGGAGATTCATATTTAATTCCTGGAGGCTCCTGGGCAATCCTGGAGGGTTGGCAACCCTACTGATACTACATCCATCCAGGTTTATCTTAAACAGGTTTCAGCCATTTTGAAAGTGATTTATGTGCACTGAACTTCTGCTGTGTTACAGGTTTGAACCAGGTTTTGATCGCTTATACTGGTTTATGTGTAATTTCTGTTCCTAGCCCAAGAAGTAGTGCAAACTAGCCAGCATGTTGTGAAATCACACCTTAGATTACTGGTGTAATTTTATTAGTGTTTCTGAAGGTCTTTGAGTCCATTGGCTGCAAGCTTGTTTGGAATACTTTTTAAAGAGAGCGTGGCTTGCTCGCTGCAGTCCTAATCTACATGCTGCTTTATAAGAACACAGAGAAGCTGTGCAGAAGCCAGCTGAGCCACTGTCGGGACAGATGGATTGTGCATCTTTCTAGTGGCTCTCTCATTGTTGCTTCCTCCTAAAGATAAACTAAGCTGTTTTAGCAAGTCTCGAAAAGGATTACACTTCCATGAAGGAAGTAGTAGTCAGGGAAAGCCTGCTTTTCATTTGGGTTGCACTTGAGTGAAGAAAATCCCAGTTTTGCTGCAGCAGGTTAAGTGCCATTGGTAGCAGCCATATAGTTGTAAGCATGGTGTAAATAGGACTGTAGTAGCCATGGGACTGTTAAGCTCGGTTCTGTGTACAGGTTTAGGTGACATACTGCTTCTGTCTGCTGGAGGTGTCTATCCGTTGCTTTCGCTTCAGTAACAGATGGTGCAAATGGTAAAAAAGAACGTTCTGCAGAGCCTAATACAGATGCTTTTATTGGAGTGTAAGATTTCAGTGTTGTGCCACTTTTGCTTTGAATCTAAGATTTGTTTCAGCTGGAATGGTATATCAAGTATTCCCAAATTCTGGGTGGGTTTAGATCCGGAGTCAAGGTCAATCTTGCCATTGAACTGGGAACTGAGGATAACTCAGGAACTGGAGCCAATGGGCTACTCTAGTCTTTAAAGGCAAACTTGCCATTCCTCAAGGTGATCTTTTCTGTTTCCTCTCTAGATTCTGTAGCTACTTCAGCATTCAGGAAGTGAGAAGTGGAACCATTTATATTTGTTACTAACATATAGCATGTCACTAGGAACAATGGTGAATGCTATTTATATCTATGTTATGCATATGGACTATTTCTTTTTTACTATGTAAGAGACAGCACTGTAGGTTTTTGTTTCCCTGAGCAACTCATTAGATGCTAATCTAAAACGAGCCAAGCTGACTTTGTGAAAGTATCTGATGTTTCCTATATTGCTCTGACCTCGATGCAAATTAATGAACTCACTAACCAGCAAGCTATAAAAAGACTGTCATTTAAAGACGGGCACAGGAAGTGGTAGCAGGAAGTGAACTTAAGGAGCCAGGAGCTTAAGTATGTATGTTAGTTTGTACGTTAGCAAATGGATAAAGCACTTGTGTTTGAGAAGCAGATGCATAAACAAAGAACAATTTATTAACACTGTCTGTTGATAAGGTATACTACTGGGTAAGCATTTTAGTCTTGAGGTCCAGCTGAGTGCTGTGCTACATTCTTCCATTAAGATAAGCAAAGGGTCATATCCTTTACTGATGCAAATCGGTTGAGCTCTGTGTACTTAATGGAGCCATGCCAGTTTACATCTGCTGAAGATCTGGCCCATTATGTTAAATTTTGCCCTTCCTTTCACTCAAATAGATATGATAATTGGATTGGGGGAGGGGAGGAAGTAATTGATTCTATTCTACAAATGACAATATTTTTAGACAAATGTATCGATTTTTATTATGATCTTAGTAGAAATCAAATCATAAAGAAATATTTCAAACATCCTGAGGTC